CGTACAGTAAAGAAAGGAAAAGACTGGGTTCAAAGCCACGGTAAAGGTTAAAGCACCGTTAACACCACTTCCTGAGAATACGAGGCGTGGGATAATGACTACAGACAGTTTATATTCTCCAGATTCATTAACTCACAGACAATTAATTTGGCTATTTACACACCAGCAGAAGATGGACTAAGTGGGTTATTATAAGAATCTTACAACGTGCACAGCTAATAAATCAAAAAAGTATCTATCTATCCATATCTATCGAATACTCATGAAGCTGAAGTGCAAATTCAGACTGGAAGACTAAATGCTGCAGATTCATCCCATCCAGGGCCAGCCTCTCTGTCCTCAGCCAATCACAGAGCTCTGTCAGCCTTTCTGTCCTCAGCCAATCACAGAGCTCTACCAGCCCCTCTGTCCTTAGCCAATCACAGAGCTCTGTCAGCCTCTATGTCCTCAGCAGCTAAAGTGATAACCAGGAGATGAAACCATTAAACAATATTCAAATCTCTTTCCCATAAAACAAATGTAATAGATTGCAGTCAATGACTCACAGAGAGGACAAAGTGGGAACAAAGAGGACAAAGTGGGGACAAAGAGAGAACAAAGTGGGGACAATGAGAGGACAAAGAGAGGACAAAATGGGGACAATGAGAGGACAATGAGAGGATAATGGGAGGAGAAAGTGCAACGAGAGGACAAAGTGGGGACAATGAGAGGATAAAGTGGGGACAATGAGAGGACAATGAGAGGACAAAGTGGGGACAATGAGAGGACAAAGTGGGGACAATGAGAGGACAAAGTGGGGACAGCGAGAGGACAAAGTGGGGACAACGAGAGGACAAAGTGGGGACAATGAGAGGACAATGGGAGGACAAAGTGGGGACAAAGAGGGGACAAAGAGGGGACAAAGGGAGGACAAAGAGAAGACTGTGAAGCCAGAGTGCGAAAGACATAAATAATTGGACCACGGTGTTGGAGAACAGAGGGAGGGGACGAGGTGAGGTCATGACCAAACGTCCTCATGTAGCGTGTCGCGCATACAGAGCAGACACACACACTTGTCATTGTGTGTCATTGTGCGGCACACACATACACACACACAAACACAGACACACACACACACACGCTCTCACACACACACAGACACACACACTCTCAAACACACACACACAGACACACAAACGCGCACACATAGACTCACACACACATACGCTCTCACACACACAGACACACACACACACCAGGACAAAGGGAAGAAGACACAGAGAGGCTTGAGTGGAGGCATAACGTCATAGAAATAATAATAATGTAAATGCGTTTTTCTTGTTTTTGTAGAGAGTAAGTAATATTTATTTATATACCGCCTTTCACAGACCAGAGTCACAAAGCGGTTTACAATTGTTGTTTTTTGGGCACTTGTCCTCTCACTCCACACAGAGATGGGAGCGGGGTCGCCGAACAGGAGGCACATGCCAGAACTATTGGACATGTTTTTAGTGGTAGGGGAAACCGGAGTACCCGGAGGAAACCTACGCAGACACGGGGAGAACATGCAAACTCCACTCAGAAAGGCCCTGGTCCGACCGGGATTTGAACCCAGGACCTTCTTGCTGAGAGGTGTGAGTGCTATCTACTCAGCCACTGTGCCGCCCTAGAGACAGCACATGTACAGGTATTTCAGAGAGACCAGAGAGACACCAGAGAGAGAGAACAGAGAGAGACCAGAGAGACACCAGAGAGACCAGACACAGACACACACACACACAGACAACACACACAGACACACATACACACACAGACACACACAGACACACACACACTCACACAGACACATAGACACACATACATACACAAATACACACACACACAGACACATGTAAGTAGTAAGTAAGTAAGCTTTATTTATATACCGCCTTTCACAGACCAGAGTCACAAAGCGGTTTACAATTGTTATTTTTTTGGGCACTTGTCCTCTCACTCCACACAGAGATGGGAGCGGGGTCGCCGAACAGGAGGCGCATGCCAGACCTATTGTACATATTTTTAGTGGTAGGGGAAACCGGAGTACCCGGAGGAAACCTACGCAGACACGGGGAGAACATGCAAACTCCACTCAGAAAGGCCCTGGTCCGGCCAGGATTCGAACCCAGGACCTTCTTGCTGAGAGGCGAGAGTGCTATCCACTCAGCCACCGTGCCGCCCATAGACACACACACACACAGACACACGTAAACACACACACAGACACATAGACACGCATACACACACACAGACACACGTACACACACACACAGACACATAGACACGCATACACAAATACACACACACACAGTGTCTGCAGAGCCCAGCGGTGTCTGCAGAGCCCAGCGGTCTCTGCGCAAAAACCAACAATGTTCAGTCATATTCTATATGAGACGCAAACAGGAGACAACAGATCAATGCAGCGAGAACACAACACAAACACAACAGAATAAACACAGGGGCGACACACACACACACACACACACTCACCCACCCACACACACACCCACACAGTTTTATTTGTATAGCACATTTACCAAAACATAAACAGACAAATATATGATTTAAAAAGGTTTAAAAATGTCGACTATTCCACAACACACACAAACATTTAGACAGACACACAAAGCTAAGAATCTAAAAGCAGGAAAGAAGAGAACAAAGCTGAAACCAAGAGTCATATGCTTGGAGGAAGAGATGAGTTTAGTGAGTCCGAGTTAGTGAAGCCTGCAGAACCTGAACTGTCCTATACAAATAAACCCGCCTTGTCCTATCCAGAGCTGACGGAGCCACACAGTGGTTCACAGTAGGTCACAGTAGTTCACAGTAGTTCACAGTAGTTCACAGTAGTACACAGTAGGTCACAGTAGTTCACAGTAGTTCACTAGTTCACAGTAGTTCACAGTAGTTCACAGTAGTACACAATAGTACACAGTAGGTCACAGTAGTTCACAGTAGTTCACAGTAGTACACAGTAGGTCACAGTAGTTCACAGTAGTTCACAGTAGTACACAGTAGTTCACAGTAGGTCACAGTAGTTCACAGTAGGTCACAGTAGTTCACAGTAGTTCACAGTAGTTCACAGTAGTACACAGTAGGTCACAGTAGTTCACAGTAGTTCACAGTAGTACACAGTAGTTCACAGTAGTTCACAGTAGTTCACAGTAGGTCACAGTAGTTCACAGTAGTTCACAGTATTTCACAGTAGTTCACAGTAGTTCACAGTAGTTCACAGTATTTCACAGTAGTTCACAGTAGTTCACAGTAGTTCACAGTAGTTAACAGTAGTTCACAGTACGTCACAGTAGTTCACAGTAGTTCACAGTAGGGTTGGGCGATATGGGCCTCAGCATGTATCACGATTTTTGTTGGTATGTATCACGATATGACGATATGATAATTTTAACAAAGCCTCATATAAAAGCTATAAAAACTTAGCACTGATAATTTTAAACACACTTGCCTCAAAGTGCATTTACTGATTTATTGGCAGCAAAATGTGTAATACAGCTATTGTATATAAAACATATTAACAAAACTGAATTGTAGAGAATTCTGTTTTGTACATACTGAAAATTGCAGGCAACATGTAATAAAGGTAAACATTTGTAATTTGTAAAATACATAAAAGTTTGTCCTTTGTAATATAAAAAGTGTAGCATTATCAAATAATTATTTGATCACTTTGGCTTATGTTTCCTAATCCCAATATAGTCAAAATGATCAAATACTGTATATATTTTTTGTATCCTTTTGCGTTTCTATAATTATGTAATTATAACTTATTTGTAATTATATTGCATTGTAGACAAACACATGCATTGAAGTAAAATGAATGACAGTAAACAGTAAATAAAGCTTACCAATGGCACTAAGAGAGAGAGAGAGAGAGAGAAGCAAGCCACTCGAGTCCAGTTGTTGCAGCTGCTTTCACAACATTAGATCCACTGCCGATAGTTACACACAATTGCTTCTTTTTATCTAGTTCCAAAACTACTCCCATATGTTTGAGGTAGCTCCGCGTTTTGGCACAATGTCTTCTACAATCTGCATGTCTTCACCATGGTCTTCACCGCCGCCCTCAGCCATGTTTGCTCTCTGCTCTGTTGTTGTTGTCCCTGCACGCCGCTCTGCTACACGTGCAGCGCAGATGCGTCATCAAAGTGCGCCGCACACAAACGTGTCTTCCGCTCGCTGTTTTCAGTGTTAAATGATCGTTTTCACCGGTATAATGCATTTTCTTATCATTTAATTTACTTATACCGGTATACCGGTACAAAAAAAATATCGCCCAACCCTAGTTCACAGTAGTTCACAGTATTTCACAGTAGTTCACATTAGGTCACAGTAGGTCACAGTAGTTCACAGTAGTTCACAGTAGGTCACAGTAGTTCACAGTAGGTCACAGTAGGTCACAGTAGTTCACAGTAGGTCACAGTAGTTCACATTAGGTCACAGTAGGTCACAGTAGTTCACAGTAGTTCACAGTAGGTCACAGTAGTTCACATTAGGTCACAGTAGGTCACAGTAGTTCACAGTAGTTCACAGTAGGTCACAGTAGTTCACAGTAGGTCACAGTAGGTCACAGTAGTTCACAGTAGGTCACAGTAGTTCACATTAGGTCACAGTAGGTCACAGTAGTTCACAGTAGTTCACAGTAGGTCACAGTAGTTCACATTAGGTCACAGTAGGTCACAGTAGTTCACAGTAGTTCACAGTAGGTCACAGTAGTTCACAGTAGGTCACAGTAGTTCACAGTAGGTCACAGTAGTTCACAGTAGTTCACAGTAGGTCACAGTAGTTCACAGTAGGTCACAGTAGTTCACAGTAGGTCACAGTAGTACAAAGTAGGTCACAGTATTTCACAGTAGTTCAAAGTAGTTCACAGTAGGTCACAGTAGTACACAGTAGGTCACAGTAGTTCACAGTATTTCACAGTAGTTCACAGTAGTTCACAGTAGTTCAGGGGTGATGTGTTCCCTCACCTTCCAGCTCGTGATGGATGATGTCGCTCAGGTTAGGCTCCTCCCCCCACCAGAAGATCCACAGCTGCTTTGCGTCGGGTTTGATCTTGCGCCTCCAAACACACAGCAGGTTGTTCTGGACGCAGCGCATGAAGCTCCGCAGAACCGGCTCGTCCTGTGCCGGCGCCGAGATCACGGGACCATACTCGCCGCCGCCGCCGTAACTGTAGCAACGCCATTTGATCCCAGTTAACTCCGCCTGCAAAAAACAACACTGTGTATGAGTCTCAGGCTGCAGTTAACAGGGTTTGATACAAGACCAGAGAGAGACCAGAGGGAGACCAGACAGAGACCAGAGAGAGACCAGAGAGAGTCCAGAGAGAGACTTGAGAGAGACCTGAGAGAGACCTAAGAGAGACCAGAGAGAGACCAGAGAGAGACCTGAGAAAGACCAGAGAGAGACCTGAGAGGGACTAGAGAAAGAGAGAGACCAGAAAGACCAGAGAGAGACCAGAGAGAGACTAAAGAGAGGCCAGAGAGACCAGTGAGAGACTTGTCAGAGACCAGAGAGAGACCAGAGAAAGACCAGAAAAACCAGAGAAAGAGTTGAGAGAGACGGGAAAGAGAAACTTGTGGAACCTGAAAGAGACCAGGCAAACCCGCAGTGTACAAAACTCCATCAGAAAAAACTACAGAATGAATAGAACCCAGAGAGGAAAAGAAACAGTCCATAATCCCAGCAGCAGCGTCTCTTTCTCTCTGTGCTGTGTGAGAACTGTATCTGACACTACACAGAGTCAACGATGCCACGTCTGACCTTCACTGAAAACTGTGAAAAGATCCGGAGTCAGAGAAGAGGTCAACGACACGAGCGCTGTGTTTACTTTAGTATTTAATGAAACGTGAATGAAACGGTGGTAAAGCTGGTGTTTGTGTTGCGTTGTGTGCTTTTGTGGCTCAGTGAGTTCGGCCGCACTCTCATCAAATGCTCTCTCTCTTGTTCGTTTGGGGAAAAAACTAAGTCAAACCTGCAACTGAGCAGGAGATGATGAAGCGCAAAGAGAGAGATCAGAGAAAGAGAGAGAGACCTGAGAAAGACAAGAGGGAGAGACCAGAGAGAAACCAGAGAGATCAGAGAGAGTCCAGGGAGAGAGACCAGAGAGAGACCAGAGAGAGAGACCAGGGAGAAACCAGAGAAGGATAAGAGAGATTCCAGAGAGAGAGAGAGACCAGGGAGAGACCAGAGAGAGAGAGACCAGAGAGAGACCAGAGAGAAATATTATTATTGGAAGTTGAAAAACCAAGCGTTTGCATTTTTAACACTTCTGAAACAGACACTGCTGCAGCTTCATTTCAAATTCTGAACAAATCTCCAAAAAGTTAATTTTTGACCATTATTTTTAGAAGAAAGTCATTCATGAAGCTTTTTACCTTTACTCACTTTTAGTAAATAATCAAACTGGTGAATAAAACTTGAAATACAACAAAAACAGGTGAAAAGCTAGCCAAATGCTAACTGCTAAAGTAAACAGTGTGTTGCTACGACTCTGGTGTAAAACCCAGCTGAACAAGAAACCAAGAACCAGTCCAGTCCTGTCGATAAACACAGCCTCCGTCCTGGATCTACTGCCTTAGTCCTGGGTCTACAGCCTCAGTCCTGGATCTACAGCCTTAGTCCTGGGTCAACAGCCTCAGTCCTGGGTCTACAGCCTCAGTCCTGGGTCTACAGCCTCAGTCCTGGGTCAACAGCCTCAGTCCTGGGTCTACAGCCTCAGTCCTGGGTCTACAGCCTCAGTCCTGGATTTACAGTCTCAGTCCTGGGTCTACAGCCTCAGTACTGGATCTACAGCCTCAGTCATGGATCTACAGCCTTAGTCCTGGGTCAACAGCCTCAGTCCTGGGTCTACAGCCTCAGTCCTGGGTCTACAGCCTCAGTCCTGGGTCTACAGCCTCAGTCCTGGGTCAACAGCCTCAGTCCTGGGTCTACAGCCTCAGTCCTGGGTCTACAGCCTCAGTCCTGGATTTACAGTCTCAGCCCTGGGTCTACAGCCTCAGTCCTGGGTCTACAGCCTCAGTACTGGATCTACAGCCTCAGTCCTGGGTCTACAGCCTCAGTCCTGGATCTACAGCCTTAGTCCTGGGTCTACAGCCTCAGTCCTGGATCTACAGCCTCAGTCCTGGGTCTACAGCCTCAGTCCTGGATCTACAGCCTTAGTCCTGGGTCTACAGCCTCAGTCATGGATCTACAGCCTTAGTCCTGGGTCAACAGCCTCAGTCCTGGGTCTACAGCCTCAGTCCTGGGTCTACAGCCTCAGTCCTGGGTCAACAGCCTCAGTCCTGGGTCTACAGCCTCAGTCCTGGGTCTACAGCCTCAGTCCTGGGTCTACAGCCTCAGTCCTGGGTCTACAGCCTCAGTACTGGATCTACAGCCTCAGTCATGGATCTACAGCCTCAGTCCTGCCTCAGTCCTGGGTCAACAGCCTCAGTCCTGAATCTAAAGCCTCAGTCCTGGGTCTCTGAGGCGTCTGCTGCTGTGATTTAGGGCTATACACAAAAAAATGAATTTAATTGTGGGGAAAATTAAGGGGAGAAAAGCTCATATACCTGGAATTTATTGATGTTGTTCTGGCAAGTCCTAATCACGTCTATCTTTAAACATGGCCCAGATAATGTGCTGTGAAGGAAGTCCAATTCTCCTGCTGCAGAGTAATAGGCCCAGAATCTAGGACCCGGGACCCTCCCATTCATCAATTAACTCTGGGAAATCAAATTAACCCTCAAGGACACACACTCCCCTCACGCTTCACACACGGATCAGGACTGATGTGTTTTACTGACGCTGGAGACACAGAAGGTCTGGCCAGTGTGGTGCTGGAGCCTGAGAGGAGAATTCATCCGGTTTGTGTCCAGACCTAGATCCCAACAGCAGTCGCCTCAAGGAATTTTCAAAGATGTCTATTCCTCAACAACGGATCAGAGAATCAAACCGTTAGAATACAGGAAATGCAATAATAACGACCACATAGGTCCACAAGGAGCGGGATGATCACGGTCTAGAAAAGTAATCTGGATTATTACTGTCCTTAGACCCCCTACAGAGAAACCTATCCAGGACTGTAGACCCAGGACTAGTGATGTACCGATCCGATATTCAGTATCGGTATCGGGGGCCGATATGGGTATTTTGTATGGATCGGATAATATTTTTATGAGATTTACGTCACTTTTCAGCATGCTCACGCTTTACGCCGGCTGTAAACTAAATACAATGTAAACCTAGGGCTGGGCGATAAAACGACAACAATATCAATAGAAAACGGGGTCGATAGAATGTTAGTTTAACATCACTCCGTTAGAAAAAACAGGACGAAAACACAGGAAGTAAAGCTGTGAACGTGGCGTGCTGCATTCTGGGGGATATAGGCATAGGCTTCTCGACCTATCACAGCCAAGCGTCAACCGCAAAACTTTCTGGGAAATGCAAAACAACAACCGCACAATGCACATGGATCTAAAGATTGTTTTTCAGTGCCATGTCAATGGTTATGCACGTCCGTGCGAGGCATAGCATGTGCGGCATGGCAGAGGCAGTGGACACAGAGACCTGGTGCATGCGGCGAAAGCAAGAGATGAAATTTTTCCTCCGTGCGGCTATCAGAGAGCTATCAGAGAGCTATCAGAGAGCGGCCGCACAGAGCCGCCATGGGGACACAAAACAGGAGATAAACCAGGACTAAACCAGGATTTCACTAGGACTAACTATGGGGGAGACTGCTTGTGAACATATTCCTTGAGCCTCATTCCCAGTGACTGTAAACAGGGCTGCTCACATGTGTTAGCCGACACGACTAACGTATTTATTCAGGTAAAATTGCAAATTCTTTAATGCTTTGAAAATATTAGAAAAAATTGTATCGGATCGGTAACGGCAAAACAATATTTAAGAATATCGGAATCAGATCGTATTACAAAAAATCTGGATCGGTACATCCCTACCCAGGACTGAGGCTGTAGACCCAGGACTGAGGCTGTAGACCCAGGACTGAGGCTGTAGACCCAGGACTGAGGCTGTAGACCCAGGACTGAGACTGTAGACCCAGGACTGAGGCTGTAGACCCAGGACTAAGACTATAGACCCAGGACTGAGGCTGTAGATCCAGGACTGAGACTGTAGACCCAGGACTGAGGCTGTAGATCCAGGACTGAGGCTGTAGATCCAGGACTGAGGCTGTAGACCCAGGACTGAGGCTGTAGATCCAGGACTGAGACTATGGAGACTGAGTGACCTCATTAGTGCTGTGAGGGTCCCCTGGGCTGAGTGACAGATAGAGCGGCCAATCAGAGGCCAGCTCCTCCCAGATGATGTAAATAACACGGCTCTACGTTACAACATGATCAGGGGACTCTGAGGGCAGCTGCTGCTCACTCCTATTATTAATATTAATGTGTAAATAAATAATTCATTTGTTGCTTCTGCGCCTGGTGTGAGGGAACGAACAGTGACATGGAGCGACCGGAACAAAACTCAAGTGATTGTCAGAGGAAGAATGAGGAAAATCTGTGAAATCAGTTACTAAGCAACCGACCACATCTGCGCAAAATCAAAATCTAGATCTGAAGAGGCTCGTGACTCTCTGAAAACAGGACTCAAAAGTCCAGTCCAGACCAGACTCATCTTTCTCTGTGGCCCTCGGACCTTTTTCTATCCACAAACTTCCCACGGCCTCAGTCCTGGGTCTACAGCCTCAGTCCTGGGTCTAAAGCCTCAGTCCTGGGTCTACAGTCTCAGTCCTGGGTCTACAGCCTCAGTCCTGGATCTACAGCCTCAGTCCTGGGTCTAAAGCCTCAGTCCTGGGTCTACAGTCTCAGTCCTGGGTCTATAGCCTCAGACCTGGGTCTACAGTCTCAGTCCTGGGTCTACAGCCTCAGTCCTGGGTCTACAGCCACAGACAGAGCAGAGACCTCTGTGAGACTGAGGTAATGTTCAGAACGAGCAGGTCTCCACACGACGCTCTCAGTCAGAGGCAGCACTTTATCTGTCATTAACTGTCTCCTGGAGTCAGCTCCTCCCACCTCTCTCTCTCTGGTCTCTCTCTGGTCTCTCTCTCTGGTCTCTCTCTCTCTCTGGTCTCTCTCTGGTCTCTCTCTCTGGTCTCTCTCTCTCTCTGGTCTCTCTCTGGTCTCTCTCTGGTCTTTCTGGTCTCTCTGGTCTCTCTCTGGTCTCTCTCTGGTGCCGCTCATCTTCCTGCCACCGTCTCC